AGCCGGATGCACTATTTACTTTTTTAGTAGTTATATATAGATTATACACAAATTTTACATGGTTATACATATATTACATATAGATTATACATTTGTCGATTGTTTTTAATTATATGGTTAGGAGGATGGCTGTTTGAGTTCAAGACAGCCCAGTGCACAAAGTATCTCGTGTTTATACAAGATCCGGGGAAAAAATCGCACCCAAAAAATTGTGATATAGGTAACCTACCATATCACTTTGAAAGAGAAGGAACCAAATATTTTTCTCGAAAGTTTGAGAAATTTTCATAAAGCACTATCTTTTAGTGGTAATTAGCTATCTATAGATACTATTTGCTATATTACGGATTGTATATACGTTTTCTGTTGTTATAAGAAGTATTAGATGTATTTAATCTACTATATTCATGAATACAGTAGCAAAAATAGGCGTGAATCAGGGAAGTCCAGCTAATCAGTTGTTGTACTCGAGTGTATTCGACTGTATTGATGGCGTGAAACATGGGATTACAGCTGGACAGATTATTGTATTCGATTGTATTCACGGCTTGAAACAGGGGATTACACTGTTTTTAAACGGAAAGTGAATCAATTAACATAATAGACTCCTAATATAACTCAACAAACTCAATTATAACACACAAGTTTTGTATTTCCAGTTATAAAAAAGATTCTCAACCGAAAAATACCCCGAAAACATAACAATCTTCAGAGAAATTATATAATACATCTGAATACATAAATTATATTAATTAAAAAATAAATGAATACATTCATGGGATATAGCGAGACAGTGAATACAATAAAATACATAGAATACAGCGGGATACATTAAAATACAATGAAAAAAAAGACAGTGAATACAATAAAACACATGGAATACAGCGAGATACATTGAATTACAATGAAAAAAAAGACAATGAATACAATGAAATACATGAAAATACATTGAAATATATTAATAGAAAATCAAGTTGCTCAGCCCCAAACTCCGTCGTCTTTGTTCAAGAACAAACAATAATTTCTGGCGAATCCGCCGTCGAGCAAAAACCCTGAATCACTGGGGTTGCAACTCTAACAATAACGTTCCTTTTCACCTTCTTCTTTTCCCTTTTAGCCTCTTCTTTATCTTCCTCTTCTTGCTTTTCGGGTTTGAAGTATTCCTCATTGCTTAAACCAAGTAGGTCGTACTCTGCTTTTCCTGCTCTTGATTTTCCTATTGCAAAATTAGCACCAGCAGCCCAATTGATTTTAATCGCTCTATTTTTTCCATCACCAGCTTCTACTACTCTGATTTCTTTTTCTTTTGAATTTTCCACAGCTTTCTTGATCATCAATTCTTCACTGCAGATAAATTGTGAAATTCTTCACTGAATCTCACATGAAATTCAGGCAAAATCATAGTTTGTGACTAATGGTAGGTGAAGTGGGTGAGAGGAATTTTGAGATTGAGCATCGTGTTTTCAGGGAATGGGGGAAAAGAATGGCATGTATCAAAGTAGAGAGAGAAAGAAAATAGTGTAACTGAATAGCGTATTTAGTGGCTTAGGGGTAGGAGGTAACCAAAATAAGTATTTTACTATAAACATTAAAAGGTATCGATAGAATATAAATTTTTTAAGTGGTATTCATTTAAAATAAATAAGATGTTAACCTTTGCTATAGGAGGTAAAAATTCCAAAGTTATATTCCTTCTATATTCTCAAACCCTTGGGCTAATTAAGAGCCCAATAAAAGGGCCTTCTCAAGTTATCCAACTAATTGCACCAGTTGTCCGCCTAAGGGATTGGTCTTCAAATATTATTTTTGTTTTTTATTTAGTTGTTAAAATACGTTTCTTCCTCGCCAAGAACATCATAGTTCTTCAATAGTTAACATTTGAAATTCTTGTTTCGGGTGGAAACTGAAAGTCAATGACCGATTATTATTAAAAGTATTTAAATGTTGATAATTTTTGCTTAGAGTTTTAGCAAAACTAATTTAATGATTTACTTAAAAAATCTCAAAAACTCCATTGTGATTCTTAAAAAGTATTAAATAAGACAAAGTGAGCCTTCTTGACTTGGTGTTATTTGACCAAAATTGTGATTGGGGATTGTTGGTATTGATATTTGAAAGTTTTGTTTCAAATTTGAAATCATTTGAAGCAAATTTGGGGTGGTTTGATCGAAAGTGGAATTACAAATTTGAAGAACACTTTGTTTAACAACACAAAAAATTATGCCATCGGGGTAGACTTTGAGAATCAATTTAATAGATAGGTCAATTACAAGCAACACAAAGTCATGCCAATTTGATAGAGCTTGGCGAACAATTGACTAAGAACAAAATCATACCAATTAGGGAGAGTTTGTAAGCAATCTAACAAATAACTCTAATGAAGATAATACAAAGTCATGCTAATATGATAGAGTTTGTTAAATAATTGAACAATCACAAATCCATGTCAGCTGGGTATAGTTTATGAATAATTAACAATATAGGTAAAGTAAATATAGCATAAATTCTACTAGTTCGATAGAAAAATCTCTAACAAACAATAAGTGTGGGACCGAAGGCCATTTTTTAAATACATCAAAAATTTGGACAATATTTAAAGACTAGCCCTTTATAGGCCAATCTTGTCAATCATTCTAAGTTATCAGTCTGTGTCGAGTTTAAAGAACGTAGGCCCAAGGTGGTGTCCTAAAATGTCATCTTTTTACCTTCCTATACACTATTTGAAATCTTATTACTCTCCTTACTCAAGTTTCAATTTAATTACATGGTCATATACAATTTACCAATTATATACAAATTGTATGAAAGTTGAAAAATAATTGTATAATGTATGAATCATTGTATAAAATGTGTATTTAAGTTATCAATACTATCTTTTTACATAAAGTTGTTGATATGTATCAAAATTGCATTAAGAGTAAGTTTAGATTGAAATTTTAGAGAGGAAGGTGCACACACCATAGACAAAATATATACAAATCAAATACAAAATATATACAAAAGACATATTATATAAAATTTGTATAAAAATTGTATTTAGATTGTATAATATTGTAGTTGTATTTAACTGGGTAGAAATAATGTATGAAAGTTATAGATAAGTTGTAAATAAGTTGTATAATATATAATTAGTTGTATGAAATTTGTTTTTACTATGTATGTTGTTGTAGATATTCAAATTTGCATTTAATTTGTACGAAATTTGTTTTTAATTTGCATGTTGATGTACCATATATTGTTCTTAGAGATAGAGATTTTATGTTTTTAGTTTGAATATAAATATGCAATGAAGTTTAGATTCTCTAGATGTTCTCTCTTAGATTCTGTTAAAATCTGTCCAAATTCTCCTTAACTTTCTATATGTAAAACAGTTCACACTATGCAATATACAGTTCAACCACTAAAAGCAAAATGCGCAACTTTTTTTAATAAAAAAATTTAAAGTAAATGAATAAACTTGCAAGCTTTATTAATTTGCATGTGATTCTTCTTCAACGATATCTATGAAATAATAAGCAAAATTTATTTCGATGGTAATGTAAGATACTATGTGTGCTGTCAACAGTGAGCTTTTTTCTTTGGGATAAGTCACAATGAAAAATTTTATACTCCCTGCATCCTATTTCGTTTTTACTCCTTTCAGTTAAAATCCGTCCCAAAATACGCAATTACTTGATTTATTTTGTGAAAAATATTGGCTGTTGGGAGTATCTTTGGTCCCAATATTCCGGAGAGAAGAGGGGAGAGAGGAGAGAAAAAAAAAAAGGAAAAGGGTGCACCTAAATCCCTTGATTGAAGACACTAATAATGGATTGAGAGTCTTTTAAGGTGGAATGTATATAATTTGTAAGTAATCCTTGTTTAGGACGGATAATAATCAAAATTACAATAATTTTAGTAAATAAATTTCAAATATTGTATAGGAACAAAAAATCCCTAACTTAATTAACTTAGACCTCCACGTGCTAACTTAGCCAAATTTGCAAGAATCTCATACTGATTTGTTACATTCAACAAAAATGTGTGCCTTAAATTACCAATTCCTAAGATAAATTAAGCATCGGAAGATGCTTTCTTTTAACATCAACTAAAAATACTTTAATACACCAACCTAAATTAGTTGTATAAGGGAGTGCTTAATAGCAGAAACCTAAGGTATCCAACTCTTCCTTCAACCTTGAACCCTCAGACCATCGTGTAGTTGCAGAAAAGAGCATTGGAATTGGATGGTATCAACGAATAAGAATATATGTTGATAATTACAAAAAATGTTATGAGTGGATCGAAACTGGGTGTTTGGTCTAGTGGTATGATTCTCGCTTCGGGTGCGAGAGGTCGTGAGTTCGATTCTCGCAACACCCCTAGAGTACTTTTTAATTTCCAAAAATAAGTTCTCTATTTTGTGACTTAACAAAAAACATTACACCAGCCGGGAATCGAACCCGGGTCTGTACCGTGGCAGGGTACTATTCTACCACTAGACCACTGGTGCCTTTGTTTTTAATAAATGTAAAGAGTAGATATTATCATATATTTTAGAGAAAATCTCACTTTATACCTATTAAGCCCAAACTATTTACTATTTCTACCCATTCGGCCCAATTTATTTACCCGGCCCACATATTTCACGCGGCCCAAGCTATCCATTGTCTTTAAAGTCTTATCTTCGTTCTTTACACTAGACTAAAGAATCCAGCCCACCTATTTCACCCGGCCCAAGCTACCCACGCTTGTCTTCGTCCTTTAACAGTTAACACTAGACTAGAGAACAGTTTTCAAATCTCCATAGCCAACCCATAAGAACACATATTTCACCCACATTCGAGTTTTTAATTTTTTTCTTCCGATTTCGTTCTATCTCTTAGTCTAGTACTTATTTTTGGGTGAAATTTTTGCTTCTGAAAGTACATTTTAGTGAAAGTGAGTTTTCAAAATCATAGGATTTTTGTGTTTTTCTTTGTACTTTTGTGAATCAATGTCTATGGGTTGTTGTTTTCTCTATGGGTCGGAAGCATTGTGCGCGAAGATGGTGGCGCCGTGGACAACATCATTCTTCAACACAAGTAGCTGCTGAATCCGTTGCCTCAGCCATGTCCGGTCCTAGTTTTTGCTTATTTTCTGATTCTCAGTCTCTGTTTAGTCGTAACCCTAGCAGTAGTCGTGTTGAAAACACAACTGAAAATGTAGAATTAGAGGGTGGAAAAGGCAACAATATTAATGCTTCGTCAGCCGATGAAACTCCCTACCAGTCATTACCCGACACAAATTCCGAACCAGTCATAGGAGGTGTTCCTGTGACTGATAAGGGAAAAGGTAAAGTTGTTGAGGATTTTGAGTTAGGGGGAAGCCGACGTGAATCCGTGCCTAAAACAGAGACTCAACCAGTAAATGTTGATCGTAGCGATGATTCTCAGTTAAAGAAGAAAAAAATTGGTGTTGCACCCAAGAAGGTAATTTTCTTAAAATGATCTGTGAGATTTTGAATATATAGTACATTGTTATTTTTTTGATTTCCTATTATGCTTTTGTATTATATTATAGTTATAGTCAGTTGTGTTAATTTTAAGTGAGTTCTATTTCTTAAATAATTTATATAATCATGTTTTGCATTGTTGAGATTCCCATGTGCCTATAGACATAGTGTATGTGTGTTATGTGATAGATTTTATAGTTATAGACGGTTGTTGGAACAACCCGTATAACTATTTACCCTATTAGTATAGCTATATACTATCATATGCTTCTGATCCTTTTTTGGCTGTCTTCGCTATTTGTTTTTCCTTTAATAATAGTAGTATCGTACAGTATCTTGAAAATACTTTATACCTGCATACCTTTTTGCTTTTTCTCTTTATTCCTATCTGTTATGTAATAGTAGTATAGTCATTTATAGTTTCCGGAAATTAGTCAGTAGAATTGTATACCCTGCTGGTATAGTTATACGCCGGTTGGTATCGTATGGTAGTTGTAACATTTTTGGTTAGTTTAGTTGTATTTTTAAGTGAATTCTATTTCTGAAATTATTTTATATGAACATGTTTTGCAGTGTTGGGATTTCCTTGTGCCTATGGACTTAGATTATAAACCAAAGGTTGATTGGGATACCAACTGCCATGTTATTCGTCAATTGAAAGAGAATTTATCAAAGAGGCAACTTCGACTGTTTAAGAAAACATGCTTTGGCTATTTTTTGAATCTGCCACCAGTTATTGTGGAGATTCGGGTTATGCACCATTTGCTTATTAGAGAAGTACATCATGAAGTGAAAAATGAGATGCGGTTTGTAGTGAATGATTCTAGGTTGCGCTTTGGTTTGGGTGAATTTGCACTTGTTACTGGGCTGAAATGTAAGGGTGATACAAGTATAGAGAGCATAGCAGAGAATAGCTTGATTTTAAAATATTTTTGGGACTGCATCCGTGACATTGGCCCAACTGGCAGACTGTTTTATGAAGCAGAAATGGGAAACAGATGATGATGCGCTGAAGATAGCAGTTCTTTATTTTGTGAACAGCTTCTTACTTTCTCAACTCAAAACAAAGGTTATTTCACGGTCTTACATTGACTTGGTTGAGTGCGGTAATTTTAATAATTATCTCTGGGGTATAAATGTTTATAACGCTACAATCGACTCGTGTTCCAACAAGTTTCAAGATAAGCCTTCTTTTTATAGACTCGGTGGCTTCCCGTTGGCTTTACAGATTTGGTTGTATGAATGCTGCCCAAGTTTGGATGGTCACTTTGCTGATCATATTGGAAACAAACTTCCACGAATTTTGAATTGGGTAGCCATGGGTCAAATACCGAATGAGCGAGTTGCTTTGCGAATGTCTAGCTTACAACGCGAGCAGGTAATTTTCTCGTAGTTTTATTGCCTCTCTTAGTACATGAGTTTAGTCACGGGTAGTTGTAGCAATATCCCCCAGATCAATGATATTCTTGTTGGTATACATGTATACCATATTTGTATCATATGGTAATAGGGATCATTTCTGCTACTTATACTTTTATTGCTACTTATACTTTTAATTTTCTCATTCTTTTATTGCATCTTTTAATATTTTTTGTACAGTATTTTAGTCATGGGTAGTTGTAGCAATATCCTAGATCAATGATATTCTCTGTTGGTATACATGTATACCATATTGGTATCGTATGGTAATAAGAATTTTTTTCTTCTACTTATAGTTTTATTGCTACTTATACTTTTAATTTTCTCATACTTTTATTGGATCTTTTAATATTTTTGGTACAGTAGTTTAGTCACAGTTAGTTTTAGCAATATCCCAGATCAGTAATATACTCTGTTGGTATACATGTATACTATATTGGTATCATATGGTAATAGGGATCTTTTATCTTTCCATACTTTATTATCATTTCTATTTCTAACTAGTGTGCTTAATAATTGCAGCTAAAGAACATCACCCCAACTGATGATGAGAAGCAACTATTTGATGTGTATGGTCTAAACTTTAAAATTGAAGTTGAGTGCACTGACAGTCAGCCCGATAGCTTTCAGGTTTTTGGCACTCAATTACCAAAGACACAAAGTATGCATGAAAGTACTGGAGGTGATTCCCAACCTACCAATGCTGAGGTAATGAAGGAGTTACAAGGTTTGGAGCTTTTTGTAGAGACCAAGTTTGAGGAGGTGCTTGCAGCTATTGGTAGGCAGTCAATGAAACCAGAGGGAAATTCAGCGGTATTGATCTTTTATATAATATAATGCTATAGTATATCGTTCAAAGATGCAATATATGCTTATAGGATATTATTCCATTCTTTACTTTAGTGCACATAGTATTCTTGTAATATACATAATAATAAAATTGTTAGTTTCTTATTTTCAGCATAAGCAACAGGATAATTATCCTGACTTTCGTGAGATGCATAATGATTATGACCAGTTTGAAAGGGGCCACGTTGGGAATGATCCTGTAGTTATTGGAGATAGCACGCCCAAAGCGCCTTCTAGTATGTAAATCACAGATTTAATTTTTTTTTTTTTTTTGCTGTTGTTTTTTGAAAATAGTACTCTTGCTTATACTTTTACATGTTTAGTGTCTGGTTTTGGTGGGGTTGGTCGAGATGGAGGTGCCACTGGTGTCAATGTGAAGAACATCACAGCAAGTCATAGCGTAGTTAATGATGATTTGCATTCTGGTAAAATGTTGTATATGTAATTTTTTATTCTTTTTTTATTTATTTAACTCTATGTATTTGTGCGTTCACTAACCTTTTTTTACTTTTTTCAGCCCCCTTCGTAAATGAGCATGATCTTGGCTTGGATTCTAACTTTGAACTGTCTGCATCTGCAATTGATCAAATCACCGCCATTACACAACAAGCAACATATAAGCAGTCATCTCATGATGTTAAAAAGTCGGGACCTGCTCCGCTGCCATCAGGAATCCCTGCACAAATACGAGCAGATGCTGTTATTGAGTCTAATACTGCTCCACGGGGTACGATGTTGATGTTACTAATTCTGTAGTTAGTATGTAAATGAGAGATTTTTGATAGTTTTTTTATTTAAGTAGTGATGCTGATAATGCTTTTATGTGTTCAGCATCTCGGGTTGATGGTGTTGGTCAAGTGGATGTTGGTGGCAGTAATGTGAATTTGCCTTCTGGTAATGTCTTCTATATATAACTTTTCATTCCTTTTTTTTTTAAATTTCTTAACTTTGTATATTTGTTTATTCACTAGCATTTTTTAATTTAAGCTCCATGTCGACATGAGGGTGATCTTTACTTGGATTCTGATTTTGAATATACTGATTCTCAACTTGATCTAATTGCTGCCATTACACAAGGAGGGAGACGTAATGTAAATCAATCTGGAAATGAACTGATAACTCGTGATGTAAATAAGTCTAAACCTGATCAGTCGGTATCAAGAAGTATTGTCCAGACACAAACAGATGTTGAAACAACTCCTGCAGTTTTCACACGGAGAAGGCGCCCTGCAGCTGTAAAACAGTCGCCGTATAGGAATGACTGGCAATCTGGTGTTAGTGCAGTTGGGGGATCCTCGAAGGTTATCAAAGGAAGATTTTCATTTGTAAATGACATTTCAGTGGCTGTTGATTATAAGCTTACGACTGCATTCTCAAACTTTGTCGAAGCAAACATGCAATTGGGAGAGTGCGTATTCGTTTCCATGTACTTTTGTTTTCATGTTTTCTTAATTTTTGTTGCTATATTTCTTATCCATATCTTCTTTTATACGAAATAGGGAAGTGTATTTACCTGGTGATCAAAAGCTGGACCCTTGTTTTGACTTTGAAGTTGAACAGATTGATGATAAGACGTTTTTCCATACCTTAAACTATTCTGGCAGGCCGCTGTCTAGTTCGGTATGTGTACTGCTTTTTATTTTTGTTGTTGTAGTAGTTCATTCATATTGTTAGTGTTAGTCATGTTTTCTTCTTCTCTTTTTTGCAGCACTTGAATATTATATTCTACTATCTTAGGAAGAAGGCGAATAATGGAATTAATATGCCAATCAAAGTCACAACTACAGATACTCTTTTTAATAATATCATGCAAAGGGTTTTCACAGAATTTGTAAAAGGTGGGAAACAAGATCATTTGATTGATAGATCAGACGATATCATGGAGTACATGAAAGGATTTAGGATGCATTGCAACACTCCATGGCACCAGGTTGATCATGTCCTCTTTCCAATTAATTTGGCAGAAAAGTGGCATTGGCTATTGGGGTGTGTATCATTCCACAAGAGATGTTTTTACGTATATGACTCGCTAGTCGAAAGCACAAAAAAGCTATTCAAAAGGTGGCAGAGGCATATGCTGTGTTGATCCCCCTGTTTCTAGTTAGCATTGAATTTTATAACCAAAAAAGTGACATTGTAGTACAAAATGGTCTGCACATGGGAAAGGAGTTGACTGATCCTTTTGAGATTGAACTGATTACAAATCTGCCAACACAGCAAAATTCGTAAGAATAATTACTTTTTTTTACTTTGTTTTCCTCATTCATATTAACATTTTTCACTTCTACTCGATTTTTATATTCTATTCATTTATTTTATTTTAGAGATTGTGGAGTATATGTTGCATGCTTTGCTGAGTATATTATTGAAGATCTTCCAATCCTTGTTGCCAATTTTGATGTGGATGGTCTTCGAGCTAGGTTTGGTATACTGTTGTGGCACTATGGGAGGAACAAGCAGTTGCATGGCGAATTAAGTGAATCTGAGGCTCCAGTAGCACCTAAAAAGACTCGTGGAAAGAAACGCAAGAAGTAGTATAAGTCTCTTTTTGGTTTTAGTTAATTGTAGCATGAAAAATTTGCAGGATTTTAATAGTTTTTGGTGAAGTATGGTATTTTGCATTATTAGATTGTAAAAATGCTAGCTTTTAAAAGTGTTTTCTAGGAATACAATTGTAATAGTACAATATGTTGCTATAACTGTTTTAATGTTGGAATGTATCTTCAGTTTGTTTTATTAGGCTTTTCTTAGGCTTCTTCCATAAAGTTGTTGGTTTATTAGGAGTGCCTTTCGGGGACAGAATTTTGTCAGCACTTGAAGTCAAGCCATTAATGTAGAACATAGCTGTTACAGCAGCACTGTTAGTTCCTACTCCTACTGCCATTTGTAGTAGGAGGAGCATTGTTAGTTCGCTGTAATACACCAGCAGAAGTTATTTTTGGAGGTGTATTTTTAAGGGAATTACGACGTTCAAAAAGAGAAACTATGTTGTTATTTTGTTGAAGAACAGGGCGAGTATTGATTTGAATGAGAAGAAATATTTTTAGAAAGTGAACTGGGTTTGAATTATATTGAGAGTAGTTGTTAGTTGTAGTTGAATCTAAGAAAATCTGTGCATAATTTGCATTGCTGCACCAGTTGTATTCTGCAAAGATTTTGGTTTAGGTATATTAGTGCAGTAGAACTATATACCAATCAGGTATACTGATATACCATTTGGGTATCACGTTGTATTTGAGTACCTTTTTTCCTGCAGCAACTAGATGTAAGTACTGACATGAGTTGCAAAGCGTGCGCATTTTGGGTATCACGTTGTATTTGGTGCACCATTTGTATTTCTGCGCATATTTTGGTTTAGCCATATTAGTGCAATACGACTATATACCAGTAAGGTATACAAATATACCAGTTGGGTATCACCTTGTATTTATGTACCTGATGATGTACAATAACTGCATGTAAATGGCTTCCAATTTGTTATACTTCATAACAAACATGAGCTGCAAAGCGTGCCCATTTTGTTAACGATGTATGTACAAATGTTGCATTTGCGGCACCACTTCTATTTCTACACATATTTTGATACCAATAAGATATACAGATATACCAATAAGGTATACAGATATACCACTTGGGTTTCACATTTATATTTTAGCATCTTTTTTTCTGTAGCAACTAGATGTAAATGCATCCCACTTTTATATACTAAAATAGAAAATAAACAGATTCTTATTGAAAACACAAGTAGCCATATAAATTTGTTGCCAAAAAGTAATTTGGCAAAGAATCATTATACCAAATATATGTCTAGTGCAAGAAATGCATTTTATTTCTTTGCAATTCAAATGCTATGATTCTACGATATATGAGTTCTATGAAAACATTGAAGCATTATATCAATCTCTCTTTGGAATATTTCGGCATGTTCTCCGGTTGTGTCCTTTTCTCCCGCATAGTGCACATGTAACTGTATTTCCTTCCCAGCCTCCTATGCCTCTCTTCTTTTTAGGTCTTCCTGGTTTGATTTTTCCTTTTGGTGGCAGTACCACCTGCGAAGAGACATGTTCTGGAATTTGCCACGTTGTTTCATCAGGCAAAGGATTTACTGGTATCTCATATGTTCTCAGCAAGTAGTCTATGTTGTAGTAATCCGAGCAATACTTGTATGAATCCATATGGAAGTTTTGTATAACTGCCATTGCATGTGGACATGGAATATCGTCTAGCTGAAACCTCCCAAAAGTGCAGTTTTCTTCATGTAGGCACACCACATTTCTTGTTTGGCCATCAATTACTAAATGTAAGAATTCAGTTGATGGCAACACCTAGTATAATTTTAATTAAGAAAAGTCATTAGCTATATGAAGTAATAGTATTTTTCAAATAACAATATTCAGTTGTTTAGTGAAATCACTAAGGTAAAAAAGTAAAACTACAGTACATGCAGTGTTTTTATGATTTTGAAAATGCATACCGTCATCGTCTGTGATAAGATAGTATTATCTGCCAATATTTTTTCATACTTTGCACCAATCTTCATAAATGATTCCACTGCATCCTTCCGATTAGTGTAATTCCATTTTTGAATCAATGTTGTCATAAAGTCAAGCAAATTCACAACTGGGAGGTCTCTTGCGTGCTTTGTTTGCTGCATTTACTGATTCCGCAATCTTCAATGTCATGGTCATAGTTCTATTTGCCTTGGAATGCGCCCGGGACCATTTATCATATCCAATATCCATCAGGTATGTTTTCACTCTACTATCAATATCTTCTAACTCTGCCATATGCCTGTTGAATTCTTCAACAGTGTATGCTCTTGCTAACGCAAAGTATACTTCTTTGATTTGTTTTTGGCTCTTCCTGAAGTTTGTCTTTATGTTGTTCCACAGATGGAACATACATGCACAATGAGGGACTTCTGGATAGACAATTGAAGTTGCTCTCCATATACCATCATGCCTGTCTGATACATTGCACATTCCCTCTCTTTGTCCATAGGTTTCTCTGAACTGCACGAAGAACCACTCCCATGATGCATCATTTTCCGAATCAACAATTGCATATGCGGGAGGTAGAATTTATCCTGTAAACCCAAAGAACAAAATATCAATTACAACACACTATATTAATTTAGCATTTCATATAGTAATATAGTCATAGGTAGGTGCAGGTGTGTAGAAAAATAACTATATGCTCTGTTGGTATACTTGTATACCATACTGGTATCATATAATATTTGAAAATCTTTTTTGTTTCTTTAACTGAATGTAATTAGATTGTACACACAATATTAATTTAGTATTTCATATAGTAGTATAGTCATAGGTAGGTGCAGGTATGTAGCAAAATAATTATATACTCTGTTGGTATACTTGTATACCATACTGGTATCATTTAATATTTGAAAATCTTTTTTGTTTCTTTAACTGAATGTAATTGGATTGTATTCTTACCCTCTGCGTCTTGCGTGGAAGCCGTGAGTATGGTCCCTCTATATGTTGACTTTAAAAAACTTCCATCAACTACAACTGTTGGCCTACAATAGATCCATCCTCTAATCGATGCATATATAGCTACAAGAAGCTCCCATCTCCTTCAGTGTATAGTCGTGTCACTGATCCTGGGTTAGCGTACTCTAACATATAAAGATATGTTGGTATTTTCTTGTATGACTTACTTGGTGTTCCTCTCAACAATTGCATTGCTTTTTCTTTTGATCTCCATGCTTGCATGTAGCTTAAGTCCATACCATATGCTTTATGGATGTCTTCTGGATATCTGTTGGTGTATATATGGTTTTCGGGTCAACAAGTTTATCTTGTACCACAGCTGCAACAAAAGCTGAGACAGCTTGCTTTTGTGAACAAAATCTCTTATCAGTTAAACAACTGTGGACAGAATTGAAATCTGTCACTTTGAAAAGATTTGATGCTCGCAGGCTTGATGCTTTAAGTCTCCAAGTGCATCTTTCATCCACGCATTCAAGGGTATACCTGTTTATCATACAAATACAGTTATGTATCATGTTTTATCGATAAAAAACACACACAAAAATTCGTACAATTATATACTCACATAGTATACTCATATAGCATACCTATATACTGTATCAGTATCATATTTTGCTGATAAAAAACATAGACAAAGCAGCACAATTTTATACTCACATAGTATACTGATTTAGCATACATATAACTATATTGGTATTATGTTTTACTGATAATAACAAAGACAAACCAGTACAGTTATATACTCGCATAGTATACTGATATAGCATACTTATATACTATACCAGTATCACTAATAAAAAACACAGACAAACCAATACAATTCCATACTCGCATAGTATACTGATTTAGCATACTTATATACTATATAGGTATCACATAGTTTTTTACTTGAAAACATGTAGACGAACCTTCTTGGGCATGATTTATTAACCCGATATTGACATTTTTCTCTAACGGCATACTGTTTCATAACGAGAGCCAGCAGGTTCTTGTCTTTGTAAATTTGTCCTTTTTCAACTTTTTGATGAAATTGATCAGTTATGATGTTTGCATCATCAAGTTCTAAACTGGTGTCATCTCCTTCTTGCACATCAAACGTACTAATCATATCAGTGCTTTCAAATTGTGCAATTTCTGATGAAATTGGAGCAACATCGAAACTGGAGGTGCTTGCAGCTATAGTATTTTTAGCAAACGACACACACAGGGGAAGTGTTGTCATCCCCGCACTTGATTTTTTCAATTCCATGTAAACACTAACACTCATATCGCTGCAAATTGTAATTGGTGGATATCCTTGAGCAATAGCATACTGAATAACTATTGTGTTACTGTTCTTTTGCAGTTGCTTTGCGATTTCTCTAAGAAGTTGTTCAAATTTTCAATAGGTCTTTATTAGAATTGCATCAACATGAAAATTAATGAAATTATTGTTATCATCCCATTCTCCACTATGCTGCAACAGATTGGTATATTTTCCATGATTCTGAAGCTATAATCACTTTTATGTCCAAAATTGAATCTCAACAATGCAAATTTCAACAGTGTTGATGTCAAATATTGAATTTCAACAAAGGATTTTTCGAAATCAAACCTCTAGATCTCCAGATCTCCAAACCGAGAATAAAATTTTCAGCTAAAAATTCAGAAGTTTGAGCGCTAAACTTCTGTAATACTTATAATTTTTGACATTCAGCTTTGCCAGCGAAATCAAAATCCGAAAACAAGATGCGAATCAGCATCTTCGATCTGTTTTTTCACACTTAGCGATCTTCAAATTAGGGGATGTCGGTGGAAATCTCAATTTTGTGCGCTTATTTTCTGAAATTTTGAGCAGCTTTTGGGTTTTTATAGGTAGGGCATTAAGCGTGGGGTAGTTATTTTGATATACCCGTTTGTTTATTAAATGGATAGGAAATTGTAATTATTTAATGGATATAATTCTTTTATGGGTAGAACATGGTAAATAGTTTTACTTTTACAGGTACTCCCGTCTTTTCCCCTATATTTTACGGGAGCTCAACTAGTAATTGGGCTACATGCACGATGCATATTGCGTAGTAGCATCCAAATTCTTATATAAGGCAATAGCCGCTAGGGCTATAGGATTCATCATCTATACGTATTTTTTGTCGCTGAGATGGCCCAATGTATGGATGCTGTTCCCTGTTAAGATAAAGAAAAACAACTCAGAACTAATTGGAAGAGGGTGAGTATTACTATCATATATGGATCTTTAATTGTCTGTGCTATTGCAATTTTGACGAAAAACCCTATTTTAGTTGCAAAGTTAAGCCTAAACCTGAAGAAAAGCTTGTTAAAGCAAACTACGCTGTTGATTTATCAGATGTTTCAACTAAAGATTGTGAATTTGCCTCGATCCAAGGAAGAAGGAAATACCAGGAGGATCGAGTAACATGCAACCTTGATCTTAGTATTCCTTTCTTTAGACCCAATGATGGCGGCCTAGATGTGGTAAGCGTTGGCGCTGTTGCAGTATTTGATGGTCATATTGGATCGGCTGCTAGTGACATGGCGTCAAAGCTCTTTTTGGAAAAGTTTATCCTTAAGAGTTACGCTGAACAATCTTCTAACTATATGGAATTCCTAAACTCATCATTAGTTGAAACCATTGAGGAAATTGATGCAGAATTCTCTAAGGTAGCTCTTGAACATGAACTTTATTCGGGATCTACTGCAGTTGTTGCTGTTATATATAACAATAGTCATGTTTTAGTAGCAAATGTTGGCGATTCGAAGGCGTTTATTTGCTCTGGTTCTTCGGTGAAGGAGTTGACGAGAGATCATAATGCATATAGGTTGGAGGAGAGGGCTAGGGTTGAAACTTCTGGAGGAGTATTTACTCATAGTTATAATAATAAGGTTCCTGATCTCCTAATGGGACACTTTCCCATGACTCGAGCTATAGGCGATGTTTTTTTGAAAAAATATGGCATTATTGCTACTCCAGAGGTGACTGATTGGCTACATTTAACTTCAGAGGATGAGTTTTTGGTGGTGGCTTCTGATGGAATATTTGAAAGCTTAAGTCCCCAAAAAGTTTGTGACTTTACAAATGAGGCAGAGGACAATTCTGATACAGCATTATTGGCTAAACAACTTGTTCAGAAAGCATTTTTAGAAGGCAGCAGTGATAATTTATCTTTTGTTTTGGTTCAATTGGGAGTAGAGAGGGTTTCTCCTGTAATTGATTATTTTTGAGCTGTTTTTGGTTCCCTTGATATCTAGAAGTTTTAGAAAAATCTTAGTGCTGTCTAGGCAAAAGTTGGCCTTGGTGGGTTTAACAAAGTAGAGGTAGGCCGAAGAAGTATTGAGGAGAGTTTATTAGGCGGGCATGGTAATAGGAGAATGTAAAGGTCGAGAATTAGGGTAGAGTTAGTGGGTAGTCGTGAGTTTTCCTTGTCCATACCAGTAGTGTTAGTCTTATACTTTCTTATTTTTAGATTTCTATTACTACCTATTGTTTCCCTTGTTTCGGTTTTCTTGCTATTTTGCTGTTATTATTGCATGTTGCTACCGCTTCTTTTTCATACTTTCTTGAGCCGAGGGTCTATCGGAAACAGACTCTCTACCTGCGCAGGCTAGAGGTAAGGCGTGCCTACCCGTTACCCTCCCCAGATCTCACTTATGAGATTACAGTGTGTTTGTCATTGTTGTTGTCGTCGTCATTGTCGTGGAAAAAGTTGGTTTGTATTTATTGAATACCAGCATAGAATTGTAGTTGAAACTCTACTCTTGTTGAGTAGTAAAAGTATTTCCACAGTAAGTGAAAAGTTGACAATTCATTTTCTGTCTGTACATTCTTGTATGCTTGCTCTTAAAAAATAGTTAGTAAAACTACTTAAAAGGAACTGAATGTTATCTGAAAAGTCATAAGGACAAAAGGTAACTCTAATTTGGTAACCAAAGAGAATAACAACACTGTTTCATATTTTATACAATACCCTGTTAACAAAATACCACCTGGGAAAGGACAGGAGCATCTGTCCATTTGTTTTATAGGCTCCTAATGCCAACTTAGAATCTGTCCTAAAAAAAAAAAAACAAAAGGAAGTAAACATACTCTGGTGGTCAGAATAACATTTAATTCTCATGTATTGAGTGACTACAATTGAAATACAATGCATACAGATGAATTATTCAAATGATGAAAATGAAAAATAAATAAAGAAGAGGAAAACAGATACTATGAGTGTTTACAAGGAGGAAGAGGAGCTCCACACAGGCCATGATTTCCCAGAAATGCAGACTTTGGAATATTGGCTTTGTGGGGAGGGATTCGACCGCTTAGTCGATTTTCTGACACATCAAATTCTTCTAGCTCTTTCAAATTCAGAACTTCTTCTGGTATTGCACCTTCCAAATCATTATTTGAAAGTAAAATTGTTTTCAGTTCCTTGGCATTCCCAAGCTCTTTTGGAATTCCACCTGATAGTCCAGTTTCTGCTAGTTTAATCTCCTGCAAGCTTGTCAAGTTTCCAAGCGATATCGGTATGTGCCCTGTCAATGGATTGTGTGACAAACTAAGTGAAACAATAGATGCCATCACTGGTTCATTTCCACTGTTTTCATCTAATGGTCCCTTGAACATGTTGTATGCAAGATTAATAGAATTGTAGCGGCCGAGAGGATCCTGAAAATTCTTTGAGAAAATTGCTCTCAAGTTGCCTGAGAATTTATTGGAATGAAGATCTAGATCCATCAGCAGTGACAGGTTCCTGAATTCATCAGGGATTGATGAATGAAAGGCGTTGTTCGACAAATTCAAGAATGAAAGGCTGGTCATATTTTCAATCCATTTAGGTAATTTCCCAGTCAAACCATTGCTTGATAAATCAAGTGTTGAGCATGATGATGAAGCCAACCAACTAGGGAGCTGCCCTCTGATCCCAGTCTTCGCCAAAATAAGCCGAAACACTTTTAGTTTCTGAAACCAATTTGGTATTCTTGAAAGCCCCAGAGGATTGAATGACAGATCCAATGTCTGTAACCTCACTAGTTTTACAAGCTGATGAGGAATTTCACCACTTAGCTTATTTCTTGACAAGTCTAGTGTTTGGAGGCTTTGTAGATTGCCAAAAGTTGATGGGATTTTGCCTGTAAAAAGATTATTGGAAAAGAACATGTCTGTGAGAGTTGCAAGATGTCCAAGAGTTGCAGGAAGTTTCCCACTGAGTTTGTTGTTCTCAAATATTAGCCTTTGGATTTTTGGAAGATTGCCAATAGAAGGTGGGATACTGCCACTCAGCTTGTTCTCGGATAAACGGCAGAATATCAATGAGCTAAGACCAGATATCGATGAAGGAATGTTTCCTTTCAGTTGGTTTTGATTCACATACATCAGGACTAATTTGGAAAGATTTCCAATTGAATTTGGAATCTTTCCAGAGAACTGATTTTCAGACAAATCAATGTATTCAAGATTCTTGAGCTTTCCTATACTTTCTGGAATGCTTTTAGAAAACTTATTGTGACTCATATCAAGCTTTGTTAGTGATAATAAATTCCCAATTGAAGATGGTATTGGACCTGAAATTTGATTTCCTGAAAGACCAAGTTCAGATAGTGAAAGGAAACCATCAAAAATATTTGAAGGAATAGCACCAGAAAGTGTATTATCACTGAGATAGAGCTTCTTCAACTGATATAGATATTTAAACGTGACAGGTATAGATCCCGTGAGCTTGTTTGTATCAAGAAAGAGGTAACTCAAGCGCGATAACTTGCCATATTCAGGTGGAATTGACCCTGTCAAGTCCTTGAGATTACTAAGATCAAGCAATTCAAGAAAAGAAAGTTTGGACAGAGAAGGAGAAAGAGTTCCAGAAACTGAAGTATCGATAATGAAGTCGTCGCCTGAAGAAAGGCCAGGGCGAGATACATTGACAACCCTGCCAAAGGAATCACAAGCAATACCTTCCCAAGATTTACAGCAATCAGTTGTAGATGTCCATGTTTGAAACAATTTTGAAGGATCAAAGGTAATCTTTTGCTTGAATTCTAACAATGCTATTTTATCTACCAGATGACAAGCTTCTAACTGACATGGAACAAAAAGAATGTAAAAGAAGATGAACAAGAAAGTTTTTCTCTGACCCCAGATGCCCATAAGTGTTCTATGATTACCAGACTTGAAAATAATGTACATGATTAAGGTTAGGAAACTGGATGTGTATTGAATTTAGGGTAGCTGTAACCAGTTGCCTCATGCGGTTTGAGTAGATTAGACTGGTAGAATGTATTAGATAGGTCATGCACTTAATAAGAGTATGTTGCTCCTATTATTTAATTGAAATTCTTTTCACTTAGAACACTATCTCTATTACTTTGAGTTGGCAATAGATGACTTAAAATGCGGAACGCGGTCGCTCGATTAGTGAGGATTTATATAGCATGTATAGTCATTGACCTTTAACCACTATAGATAATAGCAAAGTTACAATACTATTATTATTGTCACATTAAAATAATCAAATTTCTTATTACATTAAAGTAACCGAGTTATGTGTGAATTGCAGAGAAATTATTTTAAGATCTTCTTGACCACTTTTTCTTTTCTATTCTTTTTCTGCATTTTGTCTGGTGCTTCTAGTGGAATCTAACTACGATCAGTACTATCCTCCAAGCAAACGAGTTATTAAGTAGCCAATGACAAACGAACCCGGTTAACCCATATGATTCTCCTTACAAAAGTCCAAATAGAAACCACCTTACAGCAAATCTTGAAAACCACGACTGTTAGTAACATATTTAGCATTATTATTGTGTGAATTATGTAAATTAGATTTTCTTACGGATATAGTACTGTTTATTTTAACTCATCTATACACAAGTAATGTATGGCACCGTTATTGAGTCTTGGAAGCAAGTGGGAGATGACTCATATTGCCCGAAATGGTATATCAGGGATCATGTAAATTATAGGATAACCAGCAATCAACTTGCTGTTGAAAATGAGGTGGGGAATGGAAATGGTGGATCATTACCAAATGCGGATCCAGGATTTGAAAGTGACAGGAGAATCACTATCGAATAAAAATTTGAGCAAATGTTGGAGCGGGAATTGAACTCGAGCAGCGTATTAAAAGTTAAGTTGTACCCTCCTAAATCAACCAATGCAGCTGCCTAAGCTTTAAGTTTTAGGGTGCTAATCAAATTATATACCTATTATTTAAGATATATACACATATATACATATTTCTTTTTCCTACCTAAGGGTAGGTCCGTCTCTGGATTCATGACCCTTAGGCCCAGTGGAGTAAGCAAGAGTTTGTTCTGAGTCGTGTGTGCCTATTATCGTAACTTATGTTTGTATTTAGTGTTTGGTGTGGAGCAGTAGAGGTTCTAAAACTATACTACTTCTCTTATATTGCTTTTTTTTTTTGTTGGAATCCCAGGAAATTTCGCAACCGCTACAGTTTTTGCCACAACTTTGGCCCTTTGAGTGAGCACTCTATGGCGAGTGCGCACTAGGTAAACTCCTACTGTGTAATAGCCTGCAAACCACAAAGGTAATATTGATATTTACTTTGCATTATTTTCAAGTAGTGCTAATTTTTCGCGTGACGCCTTTGTTGAAGGGTGTCTCCTTAGGCCTACAGGGTCCCATTGGATAGTGCAAATAACCAGGATTAGAACAGTTCAGGATATGCTCATAATTGCTTATGGTGGAGTTACTTGAGCTTAGCAATGGAAAAATCATTCCTACTTGATTCAAGGACCTCTTTCTCGTGAAGGATTTTCTGAGTTTTATAAACACTAGTAGTGCAGTTGCCTTTGATAATAAATGTTGACGGTGTTGAAATGTTAAATTTATTATTTTGACTTCTCTAATGCAGCTTGATTTCAAGATTGGAGGCTTGACTATTCTAACCCATGATATCAAATAGGAATTTTTAACTCCTGTAGCAAAGGTTAACACCTTATTTATTTTAAATAAATATCATTTAAAAAAATTATATTCTATAGATACGTTTTAATGTTTATAGCAAAATATCTAATTTTGGTTACCTCCTACCCCTAAGCCACTAAATACGCTATTCAGTTACACTATTTTCTTTCTCTCTCTACTTTGATACATGCCATTCTCTTCTCCCATTCCTTGAAAACACGACGGAGTTTGGGGCTGAGCAACTTGATTTTCTGTTAATATATTTCAATGTATTTTCAACGTATCACGCTGTATTTTCATGTATTTCATTGTATTTTTTTTCATTGTAATTCAATGTATCCCGCTGTATTCTATGTATTTTATTGTATTCACTATCTCGTTATATGCCATGAATGTATTCGTATTTTCTTTTAATTAATATAATTTATGTGTTCAGATGTATTATATAATTTCTCTGAAGATTGCTATGTGTTTGGGGTATTTTTCGGTTGAGAATCTTTTTTATAACCGGAAATACAAATTTTGTGTGTTATAATTGAGTTTGTTAAGTTATATTAGGAGTCTATTATGTTAATTGATTTACTTTTCGTTTAAAAACAGTGTAATTCCCTGTTTCACGCCGTGAATACAGTTAAATACAGTCGAATACAATAATCTGTCCAGCTGTAATCCCATATTTCACGCCATGAATATAGTCGAATACACTCGAATACAACAACTGATTAGCTGGACTTCCCTGATTCACGCCTATTTTTGCTATTGTATTCATGAATACAGTAGCTTAAATACATCTAATACATCTTATAACAACAGAAAACGTATCTGCAATCCGTAATATAGCAAATGGTATTTATAGATAACTAATTACCACTAAAAGATAGTGATTTATAAAAATTTCTCTATAAAATACTACTAGAAAGTTTTATCTGAAGGGTGATAACTAAAACCAGTCCATTACAAGAAAGCTAGAAGTAATAGCTTAGATTCTACGTTTTCATATTAATTAAGATTTCCCCTGTCCTGAATATAGATTTAATTCTCTTCCATATTGCATTAATAATAAGCAAATGTTACTTAATTCCTAAGGGAAATTGCACTCATTACTCCATCTATTCCAAATCTTTTGTCTTTTTGGACTCGCTTGTTAACAGAAAAGTTGATCATTACAAGTTAGTAACATGGAGTAGTATTTGTTCGGAAAAGCATGTGGGAGCACTATGTTGACTTCATGCTTTTGGGGAATAAACACAAGCAAGTTTTCATGAACTTGTCCTCACTTAAATCCATAGCGAAATAGGTTTTCTCCTTCAAAATATTAATGGACTGCGAATACTGAAAAAGAGAGAAAATTCCACAGTTTCTCTAACTTCAGCAGGACGAAAGAAGAAAGAAATAGGTGTTGAACACTTCCTACAACGAATATGTTTACCCTAAAATCGGATAAGTATTGAATTTATATGTGGTTTTAAGGATACGTGATATAACTTAGCACAAATTAAGAGGATAAATATTAATACTGAAATTGACCGTAAAAGAAATAAATGCAAACCGAACAAATCGAATAGCCTTGGCCCTTCGATCACCCTTGAACCAAGTGAAGTTTCGGTTGATACAAGAACAGAGTAACAAGATAATGAAAACTTAGAGAAAAGCAGTATATTGCTTTGTATTGCGTGAATATGATGTGTTTTACAAATGATCAGACCCCTTTTATATAGTAGGGGAGTCCTACTCTTGATACAATTCTAAACACAGTAAGAAATCCCATGATTAGCTACTCCATCGGCCTCTTCTTGATATGTGCCGAGATTTCCGCCGTGATCCTCGCCCGATTGCGGATATTTTGCTTTCCGTTATTTGGCTCGATAAGCTCCCTTCGATCTTGCTCGATCTCTATCCTGTCCGGTCTCAATCTTGGTTGATCTCGATCTCGATCAGTCTCTGAATTACGAGCTTGGCAATCTAACTTCGTATCATGGTCCGATATAACATGAGGATGAGCCTTGGCCTGCCACATTCCAGTCTCGATTAGTCATACAAAAAAGGGCAAGCCCGATTTTGACCATATACTGATAGTCCCTTCGTTTCTCGGAGAGAAGATGACGAGAAACGATATGAACTTTTCCAATCCCGTCTCGATGGACCATGACGTAAGTGACGAACCCGACTATGATGTCAGCAGAGAGTGGATACTAAAACGTCCCATCGGTACGGGTACCGAGGCATTAAATGCCTGCCAGTTGTTGTCGGCCACTACCGGTTCTAAACCATCGCCAGCTACCTATAAAAACCCTAGCCTTTCCCCATTTAAACTTTTACACTCCAAGTTTTTCTTTCTCTTACTTTTCCTTTAACAAATCCCTTTACTTTACAATTTTCACCACCCAAATTTCTTGAACCCTAATCAAACCGCGTATCATCCCAATTCCCTTTTCTCTTGTTCATCCATGGCTAAAACTTCTAAAACCGTGCAGCAATGGAGGCTGCTTCTCCATCACGACCCGCCGGTGGTGAGGCTCCAGCGGAACCCCACCCTGAGGAATTCGTTCCGGCAGGGTGCCCAACCAACGATGACTTTAAGCTCGAAAAGACTCTCTCGGTGCCGAGCCGATGTGAACCGGTCTTGAGGTATATATGCACCATCACCAAAGAGATCCTCAAAAAGGTTAAAGAGGAGTGTAACTGGGTGAACAGGGATGTAGTAGTTCCTTCTCCTGAGGAATCGATCACCACTTACGTGGATGGGTATCTAAGTGTTTACACTTACCCTTTCACGATGGGTCCCTTAGACCCCATTATCGTCGCCTTTTGCAAGAGGTACGACATCACACTCGGTTAAATCCACCCTTTATTCTGGAGAATAGTAATTCTCCTCCATTTCTTCACAAGCAAAATCGAGGGATGTCCCTTAACCCTCGATCACCTCATGCGCCTCTACAGTACCCGGCTCTATCGAGGAGGACTTGCTCGCCGGGCTAGTAGAGCCCCATTCTCCAGCATAGACGAGTCTTAGGATCGAGGCTGGATGGGCCGATTTGTCGAATAAAGACTTCGGACCTGATCCCCGCTGAAGACATGCCGTTTCCTGAGAAGTGGAACATGAATCGTAAGAACATTTCACCTTGAATGTTTAATTTGTTGTTTTACTTTCTATCTTCTTTGCTCATCTATGTTTTGGTGTTGCAGCTCTGGCCCGATTCCGGAACCAATTCCGGAACTCAAGCAATGGGTCGAAGGCCTAGTGTCACAGAGATCCTATTCTGAACGTGTCTGGATGGAGTTGTCGAAGGGCCAACGGGAGGCCCGTAATCATGGTAAGTTTCTTCCCTGGAATGGCTATCGCCTACGCTTCTTCTCGAACTTACTCATCCCTTTTCTTTTGTAGGTCTTGGGAAGGACGTTACAATAAGACCGTCATCTGATGATGAAGAAATCCTTCCCCAACCACCTGCTCCGAAGCAGGCCCAAGAGAAGAAGAGGAAAGAGGCTCCGAGCTCCCCGGGCCCGGAAAAGAAAAGGCCGGCGAGGAGATCTTACAGGCCCAGGGGGTGCTGTTGTTATGCCTTCGGATTCAATCCGCCGATTAAGGGATGAGTCCGAAGAGGAGCAAGAAGAGAACAACTCCCAGCTGGTGACCCGTGTTCGGGCCAGTGCTTCGACACAAAAGCCCTCCGAATCGGAGGTTGACGAGGGAACTTCGGACGAAGTCCCTGAATTAGAAAAGGTAGAGGCCACTCCATTCAAGCTGAGAGGGTCGAGGAAGGAACCGGGGGCGAGGTTTCTTGAATAGTTAAAGATGTACCAAGGGACGATCTCGGAGTAATTGATATCTCCGAGTCCCCTAAATTTTTGGACGCCACGATCCGTTAGGTCGCTAACTTGGAAGGTCGCTTTTGCGAGGGTCCTCAGGGGGCGGTTGAAATCCACGGCTTCCTAGATGGGGTAGATTTCGAAGCTTTGGGAGATTTTACCGGGCTTGGTGATTTATCGATGCTGAAGAAAGCACTGTCACCGGACGTCGCTGGGTCTTCATCGAGCCCAAAACTAGTGGACCGGTTCCCAACCCCCAGCGTGAACCCCGATCGTAGGCGTAACAAAGTGGTTACTATCCCGGAGGATGCCCGAGTCTTCTCTCCCCCCGTGGGGATCGCTAGCTACCTCAGACGCTTGGTGATGAAGGAAGACCAAGTCGTGATGGATGCGGTGGGGGTCGCTTGCCTGTTCAACGAGGCCCAGCATGCTCTGAATCGGGTAACTTTGAGGGCCATTCCATCATCTCTTTAAGCTTTGAGTTGTAGAAAATTCTAACATTTTCTTCCTTACTTGTAGGCTTCGGTGTTGCATCACGAGGCTTTCTTTCGAATCCGGGAGGAGCGCAAGGCTGAGGTTCGGGACCTCACTAAGAAAAGCGATACCTACAAGCTTTTCAGTGAGAAGCTTCAGGCAAATTTGGTGACGGCTCAGGATGAGCACGCTGAGATGGCCGAGCAGTATTCTGAGTGCTTCACGATAGCGAAGATGAATTGGAGATAATGACTAACGATCTGATTCTGCAGGTCCGGCAGAGGCCCGAACAGATCAAGGACCTCCAGATTCAAATAGATACCATACGAGTCGAGGCTGAAGAGTTCAAAAAGAATATGGACATCTTAGCCTAAAAAAGGAGGCCGTTCAAGTAAAGTTGGAGTCGGTCGAGTCCTAACTCCGGGCTGCAAGAGAGAAGGCCTCGGTGCAGGTCAAGAAAATCGAGGAGCTTCAGTCTCAACTGGACTTGGCTATCTCTGATAAAGCAAACTTGGCCAATGATAGAGCATATTTGGCTAATGAGCTCGAGACGACTAAATCTGAGGTGGCCATGATCAACACCAGAGCTGATGCCAAAGGAGCCCAATATAAGGTTGACATCGAGGCCATCCAGGAGAAGGCCAGGATCATGGTGGATCATGCGAAATGGCAATCT